TGTCCTTTAATTGGAAAAAACTCCTGTACCCTCGCGAGGGCGGAAAAAGGAGGTGTGACAACACCCATCAACAAGACTCTATTAGACATGGCTTGTAGACTCCCTAGGACAGAACTGCTCTGATACCACTTTTGTCACAACCCAAATCGATGGGCCGCGACGGGCACCCGGTACCTTACTTAACCGAGTACCAATGTAACATATCTTTCTTATTACATCATCATATACACGTGACATACGGGCCTAATAGACCAACATAATTATTTATAAACTCAAAACATAGGCAGACAAGGCCGTACAATCCTTCACGTACAAGACATATGTCTACAAGCCTCTAAGAATACATAATGTCATAAAGGTCGGGACAGAGTCCCGCCATACCAAACAATACACGCCTAACTCATACTAACCAAACGAGCAACTCCGAAGCAAATGGAGCGCACCAACATCTTCCGCTGAGCTGATAGCCTAGTTAGAGGGCTCTCGACCTATCTATCGGGACCTGCGGGCATGAAACGCAACATCCCCAGGCAAAAGGGATGTCAGTACGAATAATGTATCGAGTATGTAAGGCACATAAATAAATACATAAGAGACATGGAAGACATATAGAGTACATGACTCAACCTATAAGTATGAATAACTTTGTAGATCATAAATTACTTTTAGCGTCATGCGTGTGCGTATGAATGTCATGTCGTGCATAGGTACATGTTTCATAACATCATCAGCCTCTGAGGGCATTCCATTATACCATCCCGGCTACTGTGGGCAAAATCATCATTGTATACCAGCTGATCAGGTGGTGGTGCATATATAACGCCATAACCTTTCCCATATCCCATATACATATATTTACATATATACGCGTATATAACACCGTTTGAGTACATACATATATATGCGTATATAACGCCGTTTGAATCATATTTCAGCCACTGTGGACAACATCATAGTCATATACCAGCTGATCAGGTGGTGATGCATATATAATGTCGTAACCTTTCCCATATCCCATATACATATATTTACATATATATGCGTATATAATGTCATCTGGTCATGGGTCAGTGCACATGAATGCACTGCATAAAGTACGTCAATAAAATCATTCGGAATGTCATAAGACCATTTTGTCTCTGAGTAATATCATAACGTAAACTCTTTTCAACTTTCGTATTTTTCTGAAACCCATGAACAGATGATAAGACATTATAACACACGAAAATTCAAGATCACAGATATCTCTAATACTTCTATGAATAGAGTCATTCATGGAATTTGTGCATTTGCACGTTCCGTTCGTATCGTATGGATCATGCCAAAAGAAAGAAGGGATAGCCTTAACATACCTGAGCCAATTCTCTTAGAAATATTGCACCGTACTCCTTTATAAAATCTGGTTTGAATTATTGAAGATCCGCTCTGAAAGTTTGATACATGCACTTCTCGTTACATTATAGAGGCGTGCGTGAAGTATGAGTAAGACTGATTCCGAACGTCAAAAGGAGCCCCGCGCAAAATCATGTGTTGTACAAATATACAAACACTCTTCCTTTGCAAGATTTTCCCCACTCACTATATGAGTAGTTCTCCATCCTCTCCAATTTCTTAGCGCTGAAAATTTTAACAAACTTCAAAATATTCAAACAATGGCCACCATTACCAAGCTTAAAGTGGATGACCTCCGTAAGCAACTTTCAAGTCACGGTCTTGACACCACTGGAAACAAACCCATTTTTGGTTTGTACTTAATAACCCTCACTAATTCTTTTCTTTATATGTATTTTTCATAAGGGTGTTGTTTTACCCAAATTGTAGCTAAGGAAGTCATTTTTTTATCAATTTGAGTTGGCCCTACTTTGATGAGTAATGTCTCATAACCTACTAAATCTTTGACACCTTTCAATTATTATACAAGAGTCACAATGTTATATAAATGGGTTGCCACATTTTTTTGTCAAGCTTTATCCAAAATCACCATTTATTTAACCACTAATCTTATGATTAATTTGATAATCTTCCACTATCCAATAATTAACCAACTATCCACATAATTAAGGTTTATCTCAAATTACTTAAAATACTACTTGCTTTTAACATACCTTGTACACCTTACAATCATGGTCATGTAGTACCTTGTACGACACTAGTCCATAAATACGGGTATTATAGCTCGGGCCGTATTTTATCTCAAATGCCAAACTTTAACAAAATTCATTTTCTTAGACTTGCTCCCCCTTTCACCTTCATGAATTTACTAATCACTTGTGAAATAGCATAATCCTTATAATTCCCAAATAATCTTTTCCTTGGACTGATGCGAATTACCTTACGACAAATTCAACGTAAAATACAGCAGGGTGCAACATCGTCTTAACTTATTATTGCAAAGCGTAACATCACTGTAATGTAATACTACACAATGCAACACTGTCATAACTTATTACTGCGAGACATAATATTGACGTAATATTGCGGGGCGTAACATCAATGCACATGTATAAATGAGTGAAATGTATGAAAAATACATAAAAATCTCGATATTCCTTCCGGATAAACTTTTCCAACTGCGTATTATTCTGAGACCCATGAACAAAAGATAATAATAATTCTTATGGGGTTTAAGAATATAGACACCCATACTATTTCTATGAATAGAGTAATTTATAGAAACTGTGTATTTGCTCGTTTCTTCAGTATAATTTGGATCATGCCAAAAGAAAGAAGGGATAGCCTTAACATACCTGTTCTTGGAATTATTCGAATCAAATGAAGCTTCTGCTTCAGTGAAATATGTTGAACGAGATTTGCTTGAATTCTTTGAAATTTTTGGAACGCATTTGTTCTGCTTTTCACGTCTTGGTGCAGTTAGCTCCCAACGGTATTTGTTCTTATTATTGAAAAGAGATAAGACTTTGGATGCAAAGTTTGGAATTTGCTATTGTAAGTATTCTGTTCCTAGTGGCCAACATTTGGAATTGAATTTCCAAGAGCAAGAACAATGTTCTGTTCTTTAATTGCAAAGTCTTCAAATAATGGCCACTAGTCTTATTTGCTAAGACTCGCCTCTTAGTCATTTCATAATTAGCCATCTGGCCAAAAGTGACTATTTAGTCACTTTCAATTTCGTGGCTTCTTGCCACGTGGGGTGGGGGTGGGATGTTAATTTTTATCCACTTATTAGTTAACTGGGTAATGTTATATTATCCGGTAATTAATCAATTACCCGCATAATTTAAAACTTACCACAAATTACTTAAAATTCTATTTATTTTTTAAAATACTTCATATATACTTTATATAATATACTACCATGGTCATATGGTACCTTGCATGGTACTAGTTTATAATTATCGGGTATTATCGCTCGACCCGTATTTTATTCCAAATTGATCACTTTCAACGAAACTCGTTTTCTTTAATCCGTGTACCCCTTTATCCTTCATAACACTTATTTATCGCTTGTTATAAATAGCGTAAGTACGTTAACGTCAAGATGATCTCATCCCCGAGTCTACGTCGGTTAACTAAAAATGAAATTTTAACGTACGAAAATCACGAAATGTAACATCCTTCCCCCCTTAGAAACATTTGTCCTTGAATGTTTAACTCTCCGAGATTTATATAATCTTGGTAGAGTCGCCTTTGTAATAACACCACTACCAATTCTCCTCGTAGAAGCTTAATAACCCAACGCCACATACGACCAGAATTATGAATTATGACCATGGCCTCACACGACCAACGATAATAACCAACATAAGAATTTATACACGTACATTATGATTATGACGTCTCGGTCGGACCCTTCTCTGGAGGAGGAAATAGGTAGGGATATCTAGACTTCATGTTTTCCTCGGCCTCCTAAGTCATTTCTTCCACATTGTTATTTCTCCAAAGTACTTTTACGGAGGCTACCTCCTTATTCCACATCTTGCGGATTTGTCGGTCTAGAATGTTCATCGGAATTTCCTCGTATGACAATTCCTCTGTAATTTGTACACCATTCGTGGGCACAACTCGAGTAGGATCGCCAATGCACTTTCGTAACATAGATACGTGAAAAACTGGATGGACATACTCCAATTCCGAGGGCAATTTAAACTCATAAGCTACTCAACCCACTCTCTGAATGATCCTATAAGGCCCAATATACCGTGGGCTAAGTTTTCCTTTCTTGCCAAATTTCATCACACCCTTCATAGGCGACACTTTTAAGAATACCCAGTCATCAACCCCGAAATCTAAATCTCGACGTCGCACGTCAGAATATGACTTCTGATGACTCTGAGCTGTCAATAGTCGATCCTGAATAAGCTTTACTTTTTCTATGGTTTGCTGAACCAGGTCTGGCCCGTGTAATCCAGATTCTCCAACGTCGAACCACCCTATAGGCAACCTATACTTTCATCCGTAAAGAGCTTCGTATGGAGCCATCTGAATGCTGGAATGGTAGCTATTATTATATGCGAACTCAATAAGCGGTAGATGATCATCCCAGCTACCTTTGGAGTCTATTACACAAGCTCGTAACATATCCTCTAGTGTTTGAATAGTACGCTCAGCCTGTCCATTTGTCTGGGGATGAAATGTTGTACTAAGGCTTATTTGAGTCCCCAATCCCTTTTTGAAGGACCTCCAAAAGTTAGTTGTAAATTGAGCTCCTCTATCCGAGATAATAGATACAGGGACACCATGTAGTCGTACTATCTCCTTGATATAAAGCCTCGCATTATCTTCTGAGGAATATGTAGTTCTAACGGGCAGAAAATGGGCTGACTTTGTGAGCCTATCAACAATCACCCATATTGAATTGAATTTACGCTTAGTACGAGGTAAGCCTACGATGAAGTCCATATTGATTATTTCTCATTTCCAAGTCGGAATCTCCATAGCCTGCAATAATCCACCAGGTTTTTGATGCTCAATCTTAACCTGTTGAAGTTAGGGCACTGAGCAATAAATTCCTCTATATCATTTTTCATTCGATCCCACCAATATATTTCCCTGATGAACCTCATGGGCTATTCCCCTCTTTTCTGGCTGCAAATACGACAGGCTACCCATAAATCTATGGCTGAGAGCATCGACAACTACGTTCGTCTTCCCCGGATGGTATAAAATATCAACGTCATAGTCTTTAAGTAGTTCCAACCATCTCCTTTGACGAAGATTCAATTCCTTTTGCCTGAAGATGTACTGGAGGCTCTTATGATCCGTATAGATATCAACATGAATGCCATACAAGTAGTGCCTACATATCTTTAGTACATGAATCATCGCAGCTAACTCTAAATCATGGGTCGAGTAGATTTTATTGTGCTTTCTTAGTTGTCTAGAAGCATAAGCCAAAACCTTACCATGCTGCATCAGTACACAACCCAATCCAACGCCTGAAGCATTGCAATAGATAACATAAACATCGGTCCCTTCTGGGAGCATTAGAACCGGTGCTGAAGTTAACTTGTCCTTTAATGCCTGGAAACTCCGTTCACAAGCATCAGTCTATTGAAACTTTGCTCCCTTCTGAGTCAACTTTGTTAAAGGTGCTGAAAGGGAAGAAAATCCTTCCACAAATCTCCTATAATAACCTTCCAAACCAAGAAAGCTACGAACTTCCGTCGGTGTTGTGGGACTAGGACAAGTCTTTACTGCCTCAATCTTTTGTGTATCCACCCAGATGCCTTCACCCGAAATGATATGCCCAAGGAATGTTATAGAGTTCAACCAGAATTCACATTTAGAAAATTTTGCATACAACTTCCTTTCTTGTAGAACTCTGAGCACAATACGCAGATGACCAGCATGCTCATCCTCTGAACGAGAATATACCAATATATCATCAATAAATACAATTACAAACAGATCTAAGAAAGGCCTGAACACACGGTTCATCAAATCCATGAATACTGCTGGGGCATTGGTCAGACCGAAAGACATAACCCGAAACTCAAAGTGCCGATATCTTGTCCTTCATCCTTAACCCTTACCTGATGGTACTCGGACCTCAAGTCTATCTTTGAAAAGCACTTGGCACGTTGCAACTGATCAAATAAGTCATCAATCCTCGGGAGCAGTACTTGTTCTTGATCGTCACCTTATTCAGTTGCCTATAATCAATACACATTTGTAAGGAACAATCTTTCTTCCTTACAAACAACACAGGTGCTCCCCACAGTGACATACTAGGTTTGATAAAACCTTTTTCAAGCAAGTACTTTAGTTGTTCTTTTAACTCTTTCAGCTCTACGGGGGCCATTCTATAGGGAGGAGTAGATATTGGGTGAGTATCTGGTAGTAGGTCAATAGAAAACTCAATTTCTCGCTATGGAGGGAGACCCAGAAGTTCATTAGGGAAGATATTTGGAAACTCATTGACCACAGGGATGGACTGAATGGTTGGTGACTATACTTCCACATCCTGAATCCGAACTAAGTGATAAATACAGCCCTTTCTGATCATCTTCCTTGCCTTGAGATAGGAAATAAATCTACCTCTCGGCGATGTCGTGTTACCTTTCCACTCCAAAATAGGATCCCCTGGAAATTGAAATCAGACTATCTTTAATCTACATTCAACGTTGGCATGACAAGAAGCAAACCAATCCATACCCATTATAACATCAAATTCTACCATATCTAACTCGATTAAGTCTGCTATGGTAGGTCGACCATGAACTATTATTATACAACCCCTATATACCTGCTTAGCTATCACCGAGTCCCCAACAGGTGTAGACACCTCAAAAGGTTTAACCAATTCAGGTTTTATTTCAAACTTACTAGCAATCAACGGAGTAACGTATGATAAGGTGGAACCTGGATCAATTAGTGCATATACATCGTAGGAGGAGACTGATAATATACCTGTAACAACATCAGGCGATGACTCTTGGTCCTGTCGTCCTGCCAACGCATAAATGCAGTTCTGAGGGCTGCTCGAGCTAGATGCTCCGCCTCTGCCTCTACCACGACTCATTGGTACTTAGGGACCTTGCCCAAGGGGGCGTACTGATAATGACGATCCAGCTACAGATCCCACTGGCTAAGCTATGCTTGCATCACCTCTCATCGGACAATCCCTCATAATGTGACACGGATAACCACAAGTATAACAAATACCTAATCTCATACGGCACTACACGGTATGCTGCTTACCACATTGAGTACATTATGGAAAGAGTGGCTTCATCTGATTTGACTCACCCCTATACTGAGAACCTGAGGCCCTAAAATTCTGACCAGGCCCTGAATATGTTGAACGATCAAATCTCTTACTACCAAATGGAGGGGGTGCGCTAGCCGATGGCTGGTATAGATATCTCGAATACTGCTGCGTTTGACCACCTTGAAACTCACCAGAAGGACTCGAAGACCTTACTCTCTTATTCTGGGCCCTATCCTGCTCACGATCGGCCCTCTGTTTCTGTTACGCTCCTCTACACCCTGAGCGTATGCCTGAATACGAGAATCCATGTCTGGCTGAAGTGAAACCGACATACAATCGTTAAGTAAGTGAGGCTCTAATCCCATCACGAACCGGTGAACCCGATCCTCCATCTTAGATACAATAGTGGGAGCATACCTAGAAAATGAATCAAACTGAAGACCGTACTCCCGAACACTTATATTTCCCTGCCAAAGGGTCAAGAACCTATCAATTCTATCTCGCCTAAGCTCTGGTGGCAGATAATGACGAAGAAAAGATTCTGTAAACTCATGCCATACTACTGGAGGGGCATTCTCATCTCTGGACAATTCCCAAGACTCGTACCAATTAACTGCAACATCTCGGAGTCTATAGGAAGCTATCTCAACTGACTCAGTCATAGTGGTCTTTATTAACCGTAACGTCCTCTGCACTCTATCAATAAATACCTGAGGGTCCTCATTCGGGTCTGCTCTAGTGAATACCGGAGGGTCTAAATTAACAAAGTCATGAACTCTCGCACTCACGGACCTATCGGCATGACCAATACCTGCTTCCTAACGCCGAGCCTATGCGACTACTAATCGGGT